CCTTTATAAAACCATATGAAAATCTAACCAAAACCTCGGATGTCAAGGGGATCCCTAATTCCTTTGGATTTTCTATTATACCCCCCTAATGACCTCAAACCTCCCCCTAATTCATTATGGTCTGGCTCCTTTTAAGAGTAGTCTTGCCCCTTTTTAAAACAATCATGAGGATTTTTGGGGTCCTGGATTTATTATCTATTATTAGGAGGGTTTTATGAATCACGTGAACGGATTAGTAGTTTCCATTTCCTTTTCCAGCCCACTCCATATTTCGAAGCCATACCTCTCCTGTCTCTCGAAGGCGATGCGCCACCTGCTCAGATGACTCCCCCGGCATCGCCCCTGGGAGTAGGGGCCCTCAGCTTGGGGGTAGTGGAGAATCAAGTGGAAAATTACATGGACACCTGATGTCCCTTTAATTAAAGGGCTGATAGGGACATAAAGTTGTCTATAGGGTTTGGGGATACATAATAGTAGAAGAGAATGAAAAAGAACATGGAAAACAAAAGGTTTGTATAGGGGTTGTTGTATACAGGATATCGGATGATGAGCAAGAATCGAGTGGAACGAACATAGGAAACTATATGGAAACTTGGTTAATACAGGGGGAATATAGGGCTTGAGATAAGGGGGAGAACCACATGAAAACGACAACGGAGAATGACATGGAAACTGGGTTAGTATAGGTGCAGTACAGGCTGTATAGTATTTACCTGGGCTCAAGCATAGGTGTATGTGGTCTTCCTGGATGTCAGGTAGAGCCAAGAGGCTTCACGCAAAACACAGAATGAGGCGATGCGGTGGCTTTCAATTCAGTGGAAAACGTAGCTTTTGTTGTGCCATTAACATGAAGGATTTAAGGGTCTGTGACTTCATCCAGGCGTGGACCTCAGCAAGCTTGCAGCAAAAAAAAAGGTTTTTGTTTAGGTTTCAGGGTTTAGGGCTTCTATTCTTGGAACCCTGCATAGGAGTTTAGGCAAACTTCTCTGTTTCCAGGATATGGCAGAAGTTGCTGATTTGGATGATGAGCTTGAGCAGCTGGAGCAGAAGCGGGAGGCTTTTCTGGGGAGGGGGTTTAGGGTACGGGTATATAGTAGAGGGGATCTATAGCGACTCTGTGGGGGTTATGTGCAGGGGTATGCAGGAAATGTGTCGGGACCATGTGAGGGTCATCTTAAGCTGAAGTAAAGGGATATATAACATTCTGCGGTTTAGAGTTTAGGGTTTATAAGGGTTTAGGGTTTAGGTCCGATCACTTATTTGTGGAACCACCTATAAGGGACCAAGATTGAATGACCTACCCTGAACGGTAAACCCAGGGTTTCGGGTTTAGGTTTAGGGAGCAGCGGAAGGCCACGGGGGTCATCGAAAAGCCGGAAAAGCCTGCTGCGCTGGAATTCCTGGACCTGCTCCGCGAGGAGGCCAAGACCCTTTTGCCAGGGAGTTTATGCATTCCATGTTCTTTATCGTTGTCCCGATGTGCTCCTCAAAAAACTAATCGAAATCCCTATATAGTCCCTGTGACATAGTAACCCCCCTAAACAAATGCCCCCTAACGTATAGTGGAGGAGAATATTTCTTATGAGGCAGACTGGATTTGTTATCAGGGGGAAGGGAGGGGATTTATCAGCCTTTATCCAAACTCCTTAATGGAAGGAGACCTCCGCTTCCACGCCATCAGATGCTGCTGAGTCTTGGCCTTCACCATTCGGACTTTCAACCTTGATTTCAGGTTTAGGGTTTAGGGGCAGCAGGCCCCGTGCCTAAATGCACGTTAGGGACATCGACCTCATGTTTTTTGCACATGTTCTGCACTTCAGGTCATGCAAGTTCGGAAGTGAGTGCGTAACGTGCATCACTTGAAGTGACCAGGGTGATCGTTAAAGCAACCTTTCGCAACACCTGGTAGTTTCCCTAGATAATGGGACCCCAATATAGAGCCCCAAATCCTGTAGTCCTTATTATGGGGACCCCCCAAAATGGCACCCCAAATTTTGGGAAACCCACACCTTAGCAGCGCTTACCACTCAGGACTTGCCGCGGATTTTGGGCTCGACCGTGCGCGACTCGCTCTCGCCAGTGTCAAGGCCCGAAACTCGTATGTGGACATGACCTTCTTGACCATACTAGTAGCAGTAAACATAGATAAATAGACATATACATATGCATGTGTATGTATATGTATATAATATAGAAAGAAAGAAAGATAGATTGATGCTGCCCCTCGTGTACCTACCCAATTCAAGCACCTATATACATCGGTACATGTAGACATATATATATACACATGTATATGTGTGTATATGGGTATATAATATATGTGTATATATGTGTGTATATGGGTTTATCATTGGATTTTTGATTTAGCTTCGAGCATTTAGCTCCGAGCATACGGTTATGAGGGGGTTCCAAAAACTCGGGCGGATCCCTTCTTGGGTTGTCCCCGGATAAACCCTTTTTTTTAATGGCCTTAGGGTTTAGGGTTTAAGGTTTACGGTTGGCCCCTGCGTAATAAACCCGCCTCTCCTTGATAAGGATTACAACTGGAATCCTGGCACCGAGACCCTTGAAAGGTCTACATTAGCGATATTTTTTTGGGGGTGGGGGGCCCTCCGATTTATGGTAACTACCATCTGAGCTACAATCTGAACTCCTTAAAGGGGGTCATATAGGGGAGTATTATAGCAGCTATAGCTCATAGATGTGTGCAGACATCTCTGGCGTACGAGGCAAGATCGCGTTCATCGCTCCCGCACGGTACGGCATGTGTCAGGTTTCTGTCAGATCGTCCAAAACCACCTGCAGGCTCAACAGGCCTTAAACCCTAAAGCCCGATAAACCTTAAACCCTTAACCCTAAACCTCTAACTCTAAGGTTAAAAGTATGGGCCCCTAATAGGGGCCCTTAGGCCTACGGGGATTCTAGGGACCCCTTGCGGGTACATTATAGGGTATATGGTAGGCATATAAGGATCCCAGAGTTCAGGACCCATACTAGGGCCCCATGGTTTCAACCCTAGACTAACCCTAAACCCGAAACCCTTAGCAAGCTGAGCTAAAGGAGCCCTCGCAAGCGCGCGGCATCAAGATCAAGACCTCCCTCAGGCCAGCGCCTCCGGGAGGCTGGAATTTGAGCATATGAGCTACGGATAGGTTGGGGGGGACCTATAGGGGTATATATAGGGTTTTGGGGCGGACCGATTAAGGGATATGATATAGGCCAAATTTAGTCTAGGACTCATATGAGCTATAGTCTAAACTCCTTAGAAGGGGTTCTATAGGGGAGTATTATAGGGGGATAATAAAGGGGGATGCTAGGAGTTTAGACCATATAGCTCATATGGAGGACTGGAGCTGAACAACTCATTACAGTTAATTGGGTTGGTGTTAAGGAACTCTTATACGGAAACCCTTTTTGCTATACACACATATTATGGGAACTGAATTTAAGTTCCTTAGCAGCAGCCCAGCCAATGCCTGTGCAGGCTAGCTTCAAAAGCCTGCTGTCTGTGGACCCTAAACCCCAAGCTCAGCAAGGAAGCTCCGAAGTGCTCATATGAGAGATGCGAACGGCAGCTTGCATTATCGTGTACTTCTATATGGGCACCACCACCACCACCGCCGCCGCCGCCGCCACCACCACCACCACGACCACGACGACGACGCCCACGACGACGATCACAACTATGATCACGACGACGATCACGACGACGACCACAACGACGACCACAACGACGACCACAACGACGACCACGACGACGACGAGGGTGATGACTTGTTGAAGCTCAGTCCTTTCGGGGTACGTAAGGACGACAACAACAGATGAGAGCAGCAAGAGCAGCCAGAATAATAGTCTACAACAATGTATCTACTGAGTTATATATATATATATATGTATGTCACGATGAGAATAGCAGTCATAATCTTTTTGGCGCTCACAAGCCCTGGTGAGGCAGCCACATCCTGCGTCATGCGCTGCCTATCCATCGTTCACGCGCTGCAAAGGGAGCCGCGCAGACAGAAGTGTTCACTTGCCATGTAGACAAGCCGGATAGCCTAAACGCTAAACCTACATAGAATCCTGACTTTGGGCAAGGATTGCTGTAATGTATAGCGCCGAAATATTTCCCTTTGGTTAGCATGGAATGACTAATGCACAAGGAAATGGAAGCTATTCTGGTAATTTTTCGGGATTGTCTAGGGGCTCCTATCAGTTTCCATCTCGACTTCCATGTGATTTTCCATTTTGCTTCTCCACTCCAGGCATAATTTCCTTAAACCCTAAATCCTTAACCCTAAGCCCTGAACCCTTAACCCCTAACCCTAAACTCTAAACCCTAAACCACCCAGAACAAACCATGTCTGCTGTAGAGCGATTCGTGTGCCTAAGCCTGAAACCTTGGTATAGCACCTCCATCCATTGGGCTTTAGGGTTTTAAGTTTGAGGGTTTAGGGTTTAGGGTTAAGGGTTTTAAGTTTGAGGGTTTAGGGTTTAGGCTTTAGGGTTTTAAGTTTGAGGGTTTAGGCTTTAGG